TAACCGCTCGCTAATTCCCTGCTACAGGGGCTCTATAAGGACTTTACAATAATTGCAAAATTATCGAACAGTCCGTCTCTTCTTAAGAAATAGAATACACCTTATTATTAAAGGCACAGAAGCCTAATCACTCGTTAATTTCCTGCTACAGGGGCTCCACTGAGACTTCACAAGCTTTAGGAAATTATCTAACCGTCGCGTTTACTTGCGAAATAAAATATACATAACTCCATCAAATTACAATCTACATGCGTAACACGAAACGTACCATTATACAATATGAAAATATAATTATACATGATAGAGAACTAAATTGCAGTATAAATGCATACAAATTGCAGCGTTTCAAACCCAAATGCATAACAGTCGCAACAAGTTGAATTCGAATGCAGAGAAATTGCAATGCGTGAAATTTGCGGGCATAAAAATTGCAACACTAAATACGAGTGCATAGGAATTTTGTATAATAGTATATTAAACTTAGATGCATTCCAATTGCAGTAGGTTAAATTTGAGTGAGTGCGATTTATAATACGTCACCATATACGAAATTGCAATGAAGCGTTGAAATAGGATACATGATTATTGTGATGAGTAGCATTTGGTTGCATAGAAGTGCAATGCGTTGGATTCGGGTGCATTGGAGCTGCAACGCGTTGGATTTGGGTGCATAGGAGTTGCATAGCGCCGAAATCGAGTGTATAGAAATTGCAACGCGTCGAATTCGAGTGCATAGGAGTTCCATCGTGTCGAATTCGAGTGCATGGAAATTGCAACGCGTTGAATTCGAGTGCGTGGGAATGCAATGCGTTGAATTCGAGTGCATAGAAATTGCAATGAGTCGAATTCGAGTGCATAGAAATTGCAATGAGTCGAATTCGAGTGCATAGAAATTGCAATGCGTTGAATTCGAGTGCATAGAAATTGCAACCCGTCGAATTCGAGTGCATAGAAATTGCAACGCGTCGAATTCGAGTCCCTAGAAATTGCAACGCGCCTAATTCAAATGCATACAAATTCCAACGCGCCAAATTTGAATGCATCGGAATGCAACACGTATTATCATTCCTCAAAATCGAACATATTGCAACCCATTCAATCCCATCCCAATTTTTAAAGCGTTCTCCATAATATATTCACATGATACAACGGTTAAACATTGTAAAGATAAAATGGAAACAACAGCGAAATTGAACGTTTCAGCCCAGTTCGTGCCCAGATCGAAAGGATAGCATGGAGTTCCGTTTTCTGCCTCGATCCATTAACCTCCACGAATGCAAATGGTCGTCGAGCAAAGGCCAAGCTCTCCTGTTCTTCGAGACATTCTAATTCGAGGCGAAAGTCGACTCGTCGAGGTTTACCACGTGAATTACGCTTTATGAATCTTGCCCATTTATTCTTTCCTCTCTTTCAGAATTCCTACAGTCTTTTCTGATTTGTAGACTTATACCTGACCCAAAATCTTACACTTTCTAATTTGAACTCTTCTGAATTCCTTCGAAAGTCCTCAAAAAATTCTGTAATAATTAAACACTTTTAACTTTAAATTTAGTCAGCTTCATAATTTGCTTTGTGAACGTTCGAAACTTTTATCGTTGAAATTTTCCAGCAAGAAACTTCGATGATCTGCAAGCAAAGTTACCGAACTTCAAAGTACCTCCGTTCAATTTTACGATCAGTAGGCGAAACTTGACGAGAGATCAAATGCGTGTTCCTGGCTCCTTGATCTACTCTTTCTTGCTCCTTTTTACTCTCCTTATGGCTGGCATCCGCGAGCGTCCTCGAACGCAGTTTGCAAACCGTTCCTTGGCATTTCTTCTGCAACGACAGACCGTCTCCGCCTGGTACGAGCTAATCAGAACTCGTTACGTAAAGACACGCGGACACGGCCGACGGCATGCTTGATTTTCCATTCGCCGCAACAAACCTTTTCAGTCGAGTTTCGGTGACCGACTGCTAAATTATTATACCTCTTGAATTTCATTCACAAAATTACTGTCTTTCTATTTATTTATCACGCTGTATAATTATTTTTTTGTTAAACGCATACATGAATTTCAGTATCGTACAAATATAAAGTGTATCGTTAATAAAATTGCGAACTTTCTGCCAGCTGTGATAATACGATTAATAATTGTGAAACGAACAGATAATGAGGGATCAAAATAAGGCGATCGAAATGATCATGAGGTGATCAAAATAGGGTGATCAAAATGATCATAAGGTGATCAAAATGATTATGAGGTGATCATATCTTCTGTTCAAGTCTTCACATATACTCTTGCTTTTATGTCGTTTTGTGGAGTCGCTTCAAACACCCTTGAGATTGCAGCTGCTTGGACTTCTATTCCTACGAAGAGATTACGGAGCGTGGTATTACAACGCGGGGAATTATGGTGCCTGGAAGTAAGACGCGTGGAACTACGACACGTGGAATTAATAACGCGTGGAACTACAATGCGTAGACTTCCAGTGCGTAGGAGTACGGCGTGTACAAGTACGGCGTGTGGTATTGTAGCGCGGGGAATTACAACGCATGGAATTACGACGCGTGGAATCATTGACGTGTGGTACTACTACGCGTGGAATTAATAACGCGTAGAACTACAATGCGTAGAATTAACAACGCGTGGAACTATGATGCGTGGAATTACGATGCGTGGAATTAACAACGAGTAGAACTACAATGCGTGGGACTACGATGCGTGGAATTAACAACGCGTAGAACTACAATGCGTGGAGTTAACAACGCGTGGAGTTGCGGTGCGTGGAATTAACAACGCGTGGAACTACCTTGCGTGGAATTACGACGCGTGGAACTACAATGCGTGAAGTTACGGCGCGTGGAATTAACAACGCGTGGAACTACCTTGTGTGGAATTACGGCGCGTGGAATTACAGCGCATGGAATTAACAACGCGTGGAACTACCTTGTTTGGAATTACGGCGCGTGGAATTACAGCGCATGGAATTAATAACGCGTGGAATTACGACGCGTGGTGTCATAAAAAGTTCCTTCCATAATTAATCACAGACTTATTTTTTCACCAAAAATTCACGAACATTCAAAGTTCCATGCCGATCAAAGTCGCTCGAATAAAGTATCGCGCACTCGAATAAACGCGATATTATTAACCGGTACCCAGTACCAGCGCAATTTCACAGAATTGCGAGGCACGGGTGTAGAAATGATCGATGCTATCCAGGATCTGTTGCGAAACGCTTTTCAACGCACGATTGTCCGACGGAACGGTTGAATCGAGATCGAACGAGATGTCCACACAATGAATTCGGGCGTGAACCTAGTAACAATGAGTGAAAGTTGCACCCGGCGAAAGCAAATGGGAAACAAGTGGTGTCGTCGCTGTCTACACATCTAAATGCCAACATTTCGTGTGTACAATACTTATCTTCGATCGTGCCTTCCTATCACCCTCCACTTCCGTTTGCTTCGTGACAAACGCTATCTCCCGATCCACCGTTCACGCTTCCCCTTTCGGAGTCAATTCGTTTAGAATTCTTTCGACAAGCATAGAGCACAAAATGTACTCTGACACAATGGTTCTCAACCTTCTCACTGCGTACGAATTAAAGTATCATCGAGTTAAGTGCTCTTTCGACTATTGTAACTCGACTTCGATGCACTGAATTTACCTGTAACGTTTCAGTGCAAATCCAGACTGAAAATTGTAGTTCATTGAATTTGGTTGTGAAATTGCAATTTTAGGTTTGAGGTTGGATTGCATTGTACTGAGTCAAGATTGTGGAATTGGAACTCAGTCAAGTGTGTAGACATTGCAGTCTTAGAATTCGTATTGATACTTGTTAGATTTGATCGTTTGAATTCAAGTATAACGTGCTAATTCAAGTATAAATTCAAGTACAGAGTACTCAAGGTTCCTCCATTTCTAGTACAAGGTACTCATGCTTCCTCCATTTTGAGTACACAGTATACTTGCTTTTCCTGTTTCTAGTATAAAGTACTTAAGGTTGCCTCCTTTTGAGTACATACTATTCATGGTTCCTCTACTTTGAGTACACAGTATTAGTGCTTTCTCTAGTACCAGTACAGAGTACTCAAGGTTCCTCCACATCTAGTGCAAGATACTCATGCTTCTCCCATTTTGTGCACACAGTATACTTGCTTCTTCTATTTCTAGTATAAAGTACTCAAGGTTCCCTCATTTTGAGTACATAATATTCATGGTTCCTCTACTTTGAGTGCACAGTATTAGTGCTTTCTCTAGTACCAGTACAGAGTACTCAAGGTTCCTCCACATCTAGTGCAAGATACTCATGCTTCTCCCATTTTGAGTACACAGTATACTTGCTTTTCCTATTTCTAGTATAAAGTACTCAAGGTTCCCTCATTTTAAATACATAGTATTCATGGTTCCTCTACTTTGAGTACACAGTATTAGTGCTTTCTCTAGTACCAATACAGAGTACTCAAGGTTCCTCCACATCTAGTACAAGGTATCATGCTTCTCCCATTTTGTGCACACAGTATACTTGACTCTCCTATTTCTAGTATAAAGTACTCAAGGTTCCCTCCTTTTAAATACATAGTATTCATGGTTCCTCTACTTTGAGTACACAATAAACTTGCTCTTCCTATTCCTAGTACAAAGTACTCATGTTTCCCTCATCTTAACTACACATTCCTCCATTTCGACTGCAAAGTTCCATTTCAGTAACCAAAATTCCTCTTCAAATTCATCTTCGCCACAGTTCCGTTACTCGAATTCGGTCACAAGAAGAATCGGAGCAAATCCCCTCTAGACCCCATAAAATCAACCTTCTATCTTGAATTCCCCAGTACGATTCCATTAGCGGCTCATCTATCCGCGAAAACGGCATGATCGAAAGCAGAAGGCCGTATAATACTCGACTAGAGTCGGTAGAGCGGCGCGAGTCCACAAGTCCCACGTCACGTCGTGTCCATCGAGAAGAGGAGGTGGGGTTAGCCGTTCGTCGGTTTCGCAGCGAGTAATCCGAGCGAACGAGCGAGTCAGCCAGTCAACCTGAAACCGCGAACAACCGCGACACCGTGTGTTTCGTCCGTGCGCTGCCGATGGCGCCGGGCCTTTCTGTCACCTCGCAAACAAACACCAGCTTCGATTTCGACCGCGGACATCGAAGCGGATTTTACGCGGACTAGCGACCGACTTGCGGTATCACACCTGTCAGTGTCGCGGCTCGAGAAAGCAGGGAGTTGCGTTAGAGCGTAGGTGAGAATCGAAATCGGATCAACGAGTGGGTTCCTTCAAGGGAATTGCGGGGTACTTCGTTAACTTCCAAGCTTAGTTGGAAAGAGTCTGTCCGCACGCCTGTTCAAAGTAGTGGTACTTCCATAGGTACTTTTGTAGAAATCAGTGTTTTGAATCACAGTGTTGAGTTTATGTGGAGCTGCAAGGTTGCTGTGCAGAGTGCTGGAGTTTGCTTTGGGGTCCTCAGAATTTCGAGGGATTCAAGCGAGTGTCGAGCCTCACATGGATGTCCCACATCGAATTTGAGTGCGTATCGATTTCGAGTGGAAATTGGAACACGTCGGAATTACCGTACTTTCAGTCCGTACGATATGGAACTGCACATGAACTAGCAACACAAAGAAGTTGCAGCACAATATATTTGCAGCTTAAGAAAATTGTGGCACTCAACTTAAAGAACAACTGTCATTTGAACGTCCTCCAAATAAAGTTTGAGAACTTTCCAAAAGCAATCAGATCCAGATCGTCCCAAATTCTAAATAGCCTATCACTTCGATAAGAAGGCTACGGGTTCGATTTCCCGGGACTGCAGGAACCGTGGAAGCATAATCGCATCGTGACCGAAATCTCGCCTAAAATCCTCCAGAAACCGCTGAGTGGTGTTCTGGCTGGAAAGCGAGGCGTTGAAACCGCGACAGAGGGGATACGTTGGTCGAACGGTGAAATCGAAGATGCAGCGAGAGCTCGATACGAAGTTCAAAGGATATAGCCGTGTCTATTAAGCGTTTTGCTCTCGCGTTACGCCCGTGGAAAGTCAAACAGGAGAGGTGGAGAGAAGGGAACGTTGTTCACCGCGACTTTCACGTCGAGCCGTTTCTTGTCGATCGCGTTGCGAAAATCCAGCCTTACTCTGCCCGCGTTGACGAAAAGTTCCGTCTGTCGAACCCTAAACAATGGACACGCAGCTTGCAATCGTTAGATCAGAAAGTTTGGTGTAATTAAATCGTTCTCAGGGATCGGTGATTTTTTCAGTGAGAAGTGAGCAGAATTTTTTCAGTGAAATCGTCGCGTTTTTCGAGTCTGCTCTCGATTTTGAGAAAGCGATCGATGGACGAAGATTGTGCAACGAGATCGTTAGCTGAAAGTAATGGAACGAGCGCAAAACACGAGTGATACAAGAACGAGACAATGATCGGTGTAATTGCATGCTTATTATAGCAAGCAAAAACAAGATCGTTATGGTTTGGTAATAAAGCGAGCAAATGCCTGCAATTTAACGGCCTCGCTGGTTCGAGTGTTAACGAATTATCGAAAGGAAACGTTTGAAAGCGAGTCGAACGTTTGAAGACATCGATTATCGATGGGAATATAATTCCAAGATATTTCCTCGAGGTCTTTAGGTTCTGACAGCGAATTATTCATTGAAGTATATTCATTATACTACAACGAAATTGTGGACTGCAATTGTATATTTATAAGCTTTGGAACATCAAGTTTGGATAGAATACTTTGTATAATTATACTTTATACAATTTCAACGTGTTGAAGTTCAAAGGAACTGTGAAACATTAAATTCAAATGCACTGTAATGCATTTATAGAAATTGTCGAATTAAAATACTGAGTTTGCAAGAAACGAATTTACAAACTAAGTTTGAGTTCCCAAGAACTAGAATTTCAAATTAAATCGATAAGAAGACTACAACGTGTCAAATTTTATCGTCAGAACGCGTTAATTTGAATGTCGAAAGCGACCGAGTCCCAGCGCGCCAAATTTGAATTCCAAGAGCGCCCGCTCCCAGCGCGCCAAATTCGAATGCATAGAAATTGCAGTGCTTCAGTTCCAGCACTCTAAATTCGAGAATAAATAGTTTCTGACTGAATAGAACTCCATCGAAACTCGAAGAAACAACGCGAAATTTGAATTTCGAGAGCGCGGACTCCCAGCGCGCCAAATTTGAATTTCAACAACACCCAGCGCGTGAAATTCGAACGCACAGAAACCGCAGCTCCCAGCAGCAATTCTCATTGAATTAAACTCTCTGAAACTCGAAGAAACAGCACATCAAATTTGAATTTCAAGAGCGTCGGCTTCCAGCGCGCCAAATTTGAATTTCAACACCGAGCGCGCGAAATTCGAATGCACAGAAACCGCAGCTCCCAGCAGCAGTCTCATCGAATTAAACTTTCCGAAACTCGAAGAAGTCTTGCAGAATTGAAAAATTAGGCAAGTTGGACTTTTATTGGCCCTGGCAGCCATAAAGTTATGATAATGGCGCGCAATATGGTCATGGCTCGTGCGTCATAAGGCTTCGGCTGTCGGAACGGTGACATCAATTTAGAAAACTGTCGACCGCGGGTAAATCTAATTATTTAACGAGCGAGTGGGCGTAATGCGTCTCCGAGTGGCGACGCGAAATCGTGCGGAAGACCGACGTGTACCCTTCGTTTCCCTGAAAACGGATTCCCAGTTGTTTCGCTGGCGAACAAACGGGATTTTAGTGCGGACGGTGTGTCGTGCTGGTGTTCCGTGTTGTGTTTAACTTCAAGAAATAGCAAGGATTTTTGGAAGGTACAAGGAAACGAAATGTCCTGCATTTTTTTATCGATATTTCCTTTACTTCAATGATATATTCATTTTTTTTAATTCGATAATAGATTCATTTTTTTAGTTCGGGAGAAAGTTTTAAGTTAAAATTTAAATTTCAAAATTTGCATCGGGTAAATTTATATAAATCGAGAAAGCTGCAACCGGAGAAAGTTTTACATAATTTTGTAGAAAAATTCGAGTTTAAATTCTTCAGCTCTTTTAAGTACGTAAAATACATCGGTCTTTAGGTTTCAAATTTAATCAAAGAGGAGTACAAATGTCTATAAACTTGCGATTATAGGAACTAATTGGGGAGATACAATCGAGGAGAAATTCTAGATTTTAATCGACATTGAATGGAAATTTTATTCAGCGATATTGGGATTAATGTTTGGCTATATTTACCTTTTGAGATACTCATCATATCAGTACTTATTCCGAAGTTAATTGGCATGATCGATAGGATCACACTTTCAGAATGTCAGTTTCATCATTTGTTGACTTTTGGTCTCAAAATGTACCACAGTTACGTGCTGAACCATCGCTTTTTTCGTTGTTACGCAAATCTTTAACATTTCGCGTTGTCATCGCAGGCACGTAATTAAACTTTAATTGCAACACGAAACACAGACTATTTTCGTAATCATTCTCTGACATCCTAAAAATTCCCATGTCGTCTCTTTCTACATCGATTTGCAGGTTCGTGTCAGTCAATTCTATTCTAAAGTAATCACGATAAAAGTTCCGTTAGAAATCATTGCTCTAATAATCCTGTCACGTTCGAAATTTCGACAACCATTTTTGGTTCAATTTTAATACAAAGAAGTACTGTAAAAAGTAGTACAATTCTTCCACAATAATCGCGAACATTACGGTTTAACTTGGATCTTCAAGTTATAATCTATTCGGTGCTCATTAACCTTCTTTCTTATACCACTAATACGGTACCCGCGTTAAATTACTTCGAAATGAATTGCAAAAGAGTTGTCTTAAGTTTCTACACTGTATACTCTTCGTAAAATTTGCGGTGCTACTTCAAAGTTAAATTCGGTCTGAAAAGTGTTCTAATGGTGTATTTGGAGTGAAGTTGAACCTTGTTGCATAGCAATTGCAATGCGTCAAATTTGGTTTATAGTAACTGTAAGGAATTTTGTGCATAGTCGAATTTTGGTATATAGTCGAATTTTGGTGCATAGATATCAAATTTTAATCCATAAATATATAGAAATTAATTTCTATATATAGAAATTAATATAGAATTTAATATAGAATTTTAATATAGAATTTAAATATATAGAAATTGCAATGATCCACATTTGGTTGCATAGAAATTGCAGTGAGTTGAATTTGGTTGCATAGAAATTGCAACGCGTCAAATTCGGTTGCATAAAAATTTCAATGCGTCAAATTTATTTACATTGAAATTGTTGTGATCCGAATTCGATTGCATAGAAATTGCAACGCATTGAAAGCGAGTGCATAGGAGGGCAACGCGCGGAATTCGGGTGCATAGGAGTTCCATCGCGTCGAGTTCGAGTGCATAGAAATTGCAACGCGTCGAATTCGAGTGCATAGGAGTTCCATCGCGTCGAATTCGAGTGCACAGGAATTGCAACGCGTCGATTTCCAGTGCATAGAAATTGCAATGCGTTGAATTTGGGTGCATGGGAATTGCAATCCGAATTCGATTGCATAGAAATTGCAACGCATTGAAAGCGAGTGCATAGGAGGGCAACGCGCGGAATTCGGGTGCATAGGAGTTCCATCGCGTCGAATTCGAGTGCACAGGAATTGCAACGCGTCGATTTCCAGTGCATAGAAATTGCAATGCATTGAATTTGGGTGCATAGGAGTTCCATCGCGTCGAATTCGAGTGCATAGAAGTTGCAACGCGTCGAATACGAGTGCATAGAAATTGCAACGCGCTGAATTCGAGTGCATAGGAATTGCATAGCATTAAACTTTATTGCATAGAAATTGCAACGCGTGAAATTTGATTGCATAGAAATTGCAGTGGGTTGAATTTGGTTGCATAGAAATTGCATCGCGTCAAACTTGTTCCTATAAAAATTGCAACACGTCAAATTTATTTATACAGAAATTGCAATGATCCAAATTTGCTTGCATAAAAATTGCAACGCGTCAAATTTTTACATAGAAGTCAAATTTTAATCCATTGAAGTTTCAGTGTCCCAAATTCACCTGCACAGCAATTACATCGTAATCAAACATGGTTGCATAGTAATTCCAATCCCGAATTTCAGTGCATAGAAATTGCAACGCCTCGAATTTCGGTATTATACACAGCAACTGTAACGCATTAAATTTACACAGTACAACATATCGTGATTGCACAGTAATTTCTATTCACATCAAATTTCAATCGATGAAAATTTCAATCAAATGAAATCTTATAGAACTTAAGGCAAATTAATTCTTGCATCAATTATAATTTAAACCTTTTCAACTAAACGCTACCCTAAACGTTATATCAAGAGCAATCCTGTAACCCATCTAATAGCGTTCCATCTAAGAAAAGAGAAAAGCAGAATATTTTGATGTACCTAGTGAAACCACGTATCAAGTAAATGCAGTACCGTGGTGTATCACACAAACGGTACTGTAACGAGATGCGTGCGTGTTAACGGTACCAGCAATGCTATCGGTACTACCACTACCACGTTTGTTCCCCACGTGTTCGATGCGTGAGTAGAACCGTCTGTTAACATAGTTATCGTGTTCGGTTATCGATAACGCGACGTCCTCGAGAGTCCGTGTTGGCCAGACGATCGGTTAACGAAGATATCGGAGGAACCGTGTTCGATATTTTTTACTCGACAACACTTTTCCAGGCGACCTGAACGTGTCGTATCGAGGGCAACCATTTCGGCAATTTCGCGCGTTGACGATCTCAGATGAGACTCCTCGGCAATTTTGGGAGATTACGTTCGCTTCGCTGTTTTTAGATCGATTTTCCGGAATTTCGACGGATACGCTATTTTAACTCGGTTTTAGAGAAGTGGAGTTCTGGGAAATTGTAGTTAAATTTTATTTTCAATTCGGGAAGGTTTGAATGACAATTTGATTTTTTATTAGATCTTTGAGTTCGTATTTTAATATTTTAATTCGTCGTGTTTTAATATTATTTTTAGTTCCAAGGAAATGTGATTCGTTACATTTTAAAGCACTAACACTGAGTTTCGATACATTGGAATTGCAATGTGTACTATTTGAATGTACAAGATTGCGCGCCAAATTTGAATGCATACAGTGCACCAAATTTAAATGCATCAAAATTGTAACTCTCTGAATTTGACTGCAAGCTATTGAATTTCAATAGAACCAGTCGTATATATTTAATAAATAGAAAGCTACTGAATTTCAATAGACTAATCATATATATTTAATAAATAGAAACACATCGTGTACATTTAACAAGAATTAAACTGAACAATAATCCTCTCACGCTTAAAATAAACTCACAAAATCCTCGACTACCAAACTGTTAATCCCTAAACGATTAACTCGGTAGACATCTATCAAATTGTACAGTAAATCCTCTTGTACTCTCATTTTAAACCTTCTGTAAACGATAACGAAAGCAGCCTCTCACTTTCCGAACAGCAGTCTAATAACATCTTGTCATCCTCCAATGCGAGTGACACGACTATCAATTTCAAACCGGGTCGATATAACCAGGTATAATCGATACCTACAGGTATAATTATTGAAAAGATGTCTAGAACAGAGACCTTTTTACAGCGCGTAGAATTAATAACGCGTAGGACTACGATGCGTGGAATTACGGTGCGTGGAGTTACAGTGCGTAGAAGTACGGCGCGTGGTATTGCAGCGCGGGAAATTATAACGCATGGAATTACAACGCGTGGAATTAATAACGCGTGAAAGTAGGACGAGTGGAATTACGACGCGTAGAATTGCGACGCGTGGAATCATTAACGCGTGGTACTACTACGCGTGGAATTACGACGCGTG